GTACACCCTGACACTAATTAGCCTACTTGTAACCAGCATCTAATATTATCTTACAGTGTGTATAAAAAAGCTAATCTTTGAAATGCCAAATTCATCTGCAAGCTCTGACAAACGTGTCCAATCACCGAATAACGTTAAACTCAAGTTAGTCATAATATAGTTAACTTGAATATCTATGACTAAGCTTTTTTATGTTCAGTGTTGTTGTTGTTCTTGGTTAAAATTTATAGCAGTTGTTGTTCGTGAACATATTCTCGTTTATATTCTATAATCCATATCCACATTTTTTCAAAAAGGATGAGCAAAGGGACGGTGTGACTAATTCTACCGCTTGAACTATTGCAAGTTCAGTGAATTGCGCTGTAAATCCTTCATTGTTTTTAGTGCAAAGTTTGAGAAACTTTGCAGTATTGTGATGAGTGGCGAAAATTCAAACGAGTCAGTAAGTCAGTCAGACAGTCAGTCATAGTGTAAACTTTACGGGGGGTAGATTGATTTATGCCGTATAGTACCTTTTTGTATATGATCAGTAATTTAAAGTTTTTAAATCAGTTTAACTTGCTTTATTTATTAATTCTCTACATCCCTTTTGCTAAGTTCACCAAAATATTGAGGAATTTTGACCGTTACTGTAAATTTTGAAGCATTGCTTTTCCGCGGTTTGGGTTTTGTTTCAAAGGGATTTGCGCAGATTTGCCCCCGGAACACCCGATTTTTTTCCTATACGTCGCAACTGCGCATGTGCCGTTGAGCCTTCAACATTATTCACGATGTAAAGAAACGAGGAGCGACGAGCATTGCTTCAAAACATTCCGGGCGTAAAAATCGTGCAATTCTTTGAGAATCTACGCAATTTATGAACTTATGTTATGAAATACGAGCATTCAATTCGACACAAAATATTTGGAAGGTTTATTCCATAAATAGAGCTTCATAAGAGGTTAGGAAGAAACGACGCTGTGTTGTTATGTATGATAGATCTCTAATCTCTTACACAAATGACAAATATATATTTGTCGATAGCAAGGATACCTTGTATTGCATACAGTACATAAATGATACTATACAAAACGGGCATTTTGTGCAGTAATCAAATCATTTTGGCGGTATACAGTATTGATTATAAGTATATTGTTTTGTATCGATTTACGCGTCGAAGTATCCACATCATAGACATAATATGCACCGGTTTTTTTACATTATTTACAACGCAACTATTTTGGCTATTCTTATGAAATGACGGATAAATTGTTGCCATCATATATATGTAGTGAATGTAGTCACAGTTGTTTGACGAAGAAAAGAGACTAAACTGAGAAAATCGCGCCCGGTTTACATGCGCAACTAAAATTATAATTTAATAGTGACAATACCGGTATCCGCGACTAACGTAACTTGAGTACTTTGAGTAATTTCCTTTTGATTAATGTTTAACCTGGTTCATTATATTTTTACTGGCATAAGTCAAAATGTTTATGTTGGGAAAACGTGTTGCTTAGGTATTACAGGGCATCAAAACTTTGCACTATCCTTGGATCCCTAGTTTAACAATCGTTTTATATGATTAAAGGCATAGTCACATGGATTTAGTTCTGGGCTGTACGGCAGTTGGTAAATTAAACTTACCCATGTTTGAAGTAGCATATTTGTCTCAGTACTGGTTCAACATATCTTGCGTGATGAAACCCACAATTGTCCATCACAGCAACATTACCCGCAGCAATTTTTGGATTGCAATCATCATCCATTTCATTGAGTGCCTCAGTAAAGAACTTTTGAGTATTTTGTAGTAATCCACACCAAAGAGACCACACATTATTAGATTTAGGGTAAATGTAGTGTCCAACAAGTAACGACCAGTGAACTCTATATATATGGAAGGGTCACTCTAGTACATTGCGTAATCTAAAAGTGAAGCCAAACATGGCGGATCATGAAGGCTGCTTGGGTACCGAACCAGACCTCCGCGCGCGAACGGTTAAAATTCAATATGGCGGCAACATGTATCAGTCAAACTACTCTAAGAATTCGTTACTGCAATTTCTATTATACAAACAGAACAAAATAAAAAATGTTATAGCCAAACCAATAAACGTTCACTTAGCCCTATGACTTAGCTTCAACGTTAAATGTGTTTTTCGTCAAATAATATAGCTGTCAAACATGACATAGCTAGTTACACATACACTGAATATTTTTTAATAATATCTTCTCTATCTATCTTCCTAATATAGACTTGTTACTTCGGACCTATTAAAAAAATACACTTTTAAATGTGCATTGGAAAAGGCAGAATATGACATGAAGATATTCAACGTCTGAACTAACCCCAATTTCTCAGCTAATGTTTAAATTTTAAAAACATCAATGGATAAACGATGTGCATAAGAAATTTCAACACAACAATCATTGCACATAAAAGACACTATAAGTATTATACATCAAGTATCATTGGATCATGTTCAAAAATATAAATTATACGTCCATTCTAAGATTTAACCCTCAAGAGATTATTTACTATTGTTTTAATCATCGTCACTAAAATCCCACACACTGGGATTGTGCATGTAAAAATGAAGGCTTTCGGAAAATTGGGCGTAGGATTGGTAATTTTTTGGCAACTTTAGGATTCCAAAACACGTTCTTGATTTCGGCCGAATACCAAGGTCTGCCATTGTTTCCATCACCACTTTAATACGCTTGTGGGGAATAACCAATTCGCTTCCAGTGCAGAAGGGCATGAAACGTGATAAAATTTTTCTGTTTTGATTTTTTAGATATCGTACAAGCCATCTTGAAACTTTATCTTCTTGTGATGTAAGATGCTTAGAAGTATAAACTGCTCGAGACATTGGTGAAGGTAGGGGAACAACAGCTGTATATGGCTTTAATTTCTTCAGCACTGACATCGTTCCAAAACGATCCCATCCCTTCTTTCAGCTTATGTATACAAGTGAATTGTTTGTTCACCAGCTCTGTCCGAGCCACTTGCGCAACGATCTCCGCGATATTGCTCGGGTTGGGGAAAGCTACTTTACCGTATGGGCAAAGAATATCTACCAGTTCGTCAGTTGGAAATGGTGAAAGCCCACTATGCCCTTTTTCTATTATATCTCTTTCTTTTTCATGGAGTAGCATTAAGAATGATTGCACCAGGCATTCCGCCGACGCGCTTCCAATAACCGCCTGGTGGATAATAGCCTCTGAGAGTTGTAGTGGCAAGGTTCCTGTTTGTATGAACTGATGTGTCAGAATTCGCCCTAATACAAAGTATTCTTCAATGGTGAAAGATGATAAAATATCGAAATCGAACTGATCAACACCTAAATTGAATGATAAAGGTATCAAATGTTATTCAAATCTACTTTCTTTTAATATGCTTCCGAGGAGACGTGTGCACATGCGCGTGTGTTTATAAGTCTACAATTTTATGCACAAAGCGATTTGCGATCAAGGTGTTTGGTTGCATAAACAATAAGTTCACCTGATAAATATAAGTTGCAAGAAAATATGTGATAAATGACCAATCCAAATGGGATCTGTAATCAACTAAAATAATCTCCAGCAAACGTAATACCTTTTACACTCACAAGTATGTTGCCATCGACAATTCAACATATTTACCTTCGCAAACGTGAATAAAAAAATTTCCCCAGAAGACTGCGTACATGCCTCTGTTCACGCCATCACCCACTGCATCTTCGTCATGTCCTTGAAGCTTCTCCAGTATACTTTGGCGCTTTGTTTAAAGTCGCGTGATTATCGCGATGGCACATTCTTCTTCATACGTTGGAATTGTATCCTCTTCCATTGCTTAGGAATACCAGATGTTATCCGTAGGTCATGCATTGGATGCAAGGCTGGGTTTTGTATTTTTGAAATATCTCCAACTTCAAAAATTTCTTGCTCAATCGATGAGATATTGGTTATGTCAGTTGTCTGACTTTGAGACAATGGAACAGGGTTTTCCTGTTTAATCATGTAGATAATTGTTTGTAAATGCGCCTTGTATGGCAGCACCCTTTTTTAGCTTGTGGATTTTAATAATTTTAAACTCCTTAGTTTTGAAAATATGGATCTTTTACTTACGATTTATGTGTCTTCGCAAGGGTATTATTAAGAAGTTGTGGCCATTATATCGAGGGAAAAGAGCTGGCAGACTTGTTAAAGAAAGGGAATCTTGTCGTCGCTATGGAATTCAAGTGGTCCAACCGGCAAATAAAATCAACTGTGTCCGGCCTACTTCAAGCCATTATTTGCGAGCTCATAACCCGGGAAACTTTGTGCATATACCCTTGATCGACTCTATACATCAAGGGAAAAGATCTGGGACTGCCTATTGCCCATCCTTGCTTCTTTTAAATGTGATGTCTTTGGTTCCTAAGATCTACGAAATTCACTATGTTGCACAACACTCGAATTTGGATTGTATTTGCATAACTGAAACTTGGCTTCAGAATCTCCTTCCTGATAATATTATCGCTTTAGATGGATTTAAACTAGTTTGGAGAGATAGATATGAGAGAACACACGGAAGTGTCTGCATGTTTATCTGTAATAACCTTAATTTTTTCGTGCTTAACAACCTTGCCGACATTTTCGAAGCATTATGGATTCATGTAGCCTCCTCCGCAGGCAACTCTGTTGGTATTCAAATAGTTTTATAGCATAGATGAGTAACAATATAAGTAAGCAAAGCTGTGTAATCCCAAACAGCAAACCTTTGAGAAATTGAGTTCATAATATTTTATATTTTCGCCGAGTGTAATTGAATATTCATATGTTTTGGCCGAGTGTAACTGAATATAAGGGGATTGCGGCGGGAAGGGGGGCGGGGCAGAAAGATAAAGAAAGGAGAGTTGCCTGCCAAAAATCGACATGGTCTGTCAATTCCGCGCATACCAAAAATCTGCTTAGTAGGGGAGAGAAAAGCGAATTTAAGTGCTTTCCCTGTAAGACAAAGAAGAAATTTGCTCATTGACTCAGCACGCATCATCAGTATGGCGGAAGAATGCGATGATAACATTTTACTTCTAGCGCTGGAAAAACTTTCTGCTGTTCCTCCATTGTGGCCTAATAATGCATCGAATTTTAAAATAAAAGGATACGAAATAGAGTGTGTGGTTAAAGCAATTTCAAGTTTTGAAGCTGCTACGAAATTTTTGTCTTTTTGTCTTCATGAAATTCATGGCTTTGCCGAACACGAACCGACTTCGAAGAACATTGAAATATCGGACGAAGCAAATGATTGTTATGTGTATAGTATTAGGATCTTGAACAATAAACCTCTTGTTGAACTGAATTATGTACTCAAGAATACACCTTTACATTCGGAAAGAACCACATCCAACGACCAAAGTTCAAAAGATTTTGAGGAGTCAAATTTATCTCAGGATATCAATATTGAAAGGGGAAAGCTCGTAGACAATACATTGAGACAGTATTTTGGTTTTACGTCCTTTCGGCCACTGCAGAGAGAGACAATAATAACAACAATGAATGGGAAAGATGCTATGACAGTCGTGGGAACTGGTGGTGGAAAGACTTTGATGTATCTTTTACCTGCTGTAATTTCTGCCAAGACAACTTTGGTAGTTTCTCCCATATTATCCTTGATAGATGATATTCTTGCTAGATGTTATAATCTCAGCATACCAGCTTGTAAATTTACTGGAGATGTTCCAAAGGAAGTACAAACTACCCAACAGTTGAATATTAAACAGTATAAGATTGTTGTTGGAACACCTGAAATGCTCAAGGATGAAGAATTTAACAGTACTGTCATGTCCATGATTGAGAAGAATGAATTAGAAAGGATTGTGTTTGATGAAGCACATACCATTATTAGCTGGGGTAACACTTTTCGCCCAATATATAGGGAGGTATGTGAAGAGTTAGCTAAGACTCCCTGCCCTAAACTTTTGTTGAGTGCAACAGTTCCTGCAAAGTTGAATATGAACTTAAGCATATTTTCAACGGTTTGGTGGTATTTAGATCTTCAATTTTTCGAGGGAATCTGTTTTTGAAAGTTCAAGAACGTACAAGCAAGTTTAACAATGACTTGAAAAGCTTCATTTTGGAGAGAAAGGATGATAGTGGAATAATATACTGTGTTTTACCAAAGGATGTTTCATTGATTCATGCTGGTCTTTCAAAAAATGGGATTGACTGTGTTAAGTATCATGGAAAATTATCTGAAGAAGTGAAATCAAATAGTTACTCTAAATGGGTAAAAGGAGAGTGCAAAGTTATTGTTGCCAATTCTTCATTTGGGATGGGCATCGACAAAAAGGATGTGCGATACGTGATTCATGACAGAATACCCACAAGTATTGACAAATATTATCAGCAATGTGGCCGTGCAGGGCATGATGGTTTGCCTGCAACATGTCTGTTATTTTATAAATATGGAGACAAGAATATGCTTATGAAAATGTTTCAAATGCAAAGTGAACTGAACCAGCAGATTGCATCTGTTAACGAACTGATACATTTTCTTGAAGATCCTGTACAATGTCGTCATAGAAGGCTTATGCTATTTTTTGGGGAGGAAATAACTAGTTTCATTTGTAGAACTAGTTGTGACAACTGTTGTACAAGGGGGAGCTTCTACATAACTGATGGTACATCAGATGCACTGAAGGTGCTTCAAGCAGTTGTGGAACTAACTGAAAGGGTTTTTACATGCGACACCCTGAAACTTTTCCTCTTAGGAAGTCGACAGAAATCTATCCTGGAGCAAGATCTGGATAGTTTGGTTAATTTTGGTAGTCTCGAGAAAAGGTTTGTGCCAACTGTGCTACTTGATAAGTTTTTACATTCACTAATTAACAGTGGTATTCTGGCAGAAAATAGTCGAAAGAAGGGTAAAAGTTTATATGCTCAGCTAGTTCTTGGACCGAAAGCACATGATCTGATGGCCCTCAGGTTAAGTGTTTCTCGTTATGACACCTAATATGTAATACCTGGTGATAAAAGTAATGACAAATCTGCATGTACGACAAGTTTTGTAATAGTGTAATAATAATAGTTTAGTAGTGGTGTAATTAGAGTGGACAAATAGTAAAATTTACAAAATCGTTGGAATTTGATTAAAATTCTTGAATTTACTAATTACTTTAATTGAATTGAATTGACTTTAGTTATTCCAAGAAAGATTCACACTTTCCCTGCATAAAATAAAAACCCTTATGATAGTTACACAGTGAATACTTTTTGGTCTGGAAGCCTTGCTCTTATGAATTGTTAAGAAATGGGCTTTTATAATAAATTAGAGCATATCATTAGGAAATTTCCTGTGTAGAAAAGATTTAAATTCACCACTTGCTTTGACTTCTCCTTGTTCCAAAACATTCACACACTTGCTTGGAACTTTTTCTCCTTCTTTAACTTTCTTGTCAGCCCAGGCATATTTTAAAACATCAGTTCTCTTAGCAGATTCAAACCAACCTTGTTTGAGGACAAATTGGGCAACCCTCATTTGATCATATAAAGATGGTGGCTTCTTGTGTTTCTTTGTAGTGTGTATATCAAACGATTCCTTACATTTGTACATTTTCGGATTCATCTCCAACAAATGAACACTACAGGACATCAGTTCTACCATGGAGAATGAGCTCTGGGCAGATGCAAACTGCTTGACAGGCCGAACAAGATAATCTTCTACTCATTCATCTCCAGCCAATTGTTTTCCATCTTTACCATCTAAACTAACTGTCCTGTTCCTCTGGTACATTAGACGATATGTGAGTGGCCATTTGGCTATAGCATTGACAGTATGTGTGAATGCTTCGTCCCGGTAATTTATCTTGTTCAATTGAGAAAAAAGAGCAGGACAAATCATCCATACACCTTCAATCGCTTTGCCATTCCCATACCTATAAACATTTTGCAGAAATTTCATTGTTATACATTGAAATGTTATAAATGAAATGTTATACATTAAGCCTTACTCCCATATACATGTGAGCTACTTTTTGGGAAAACATTCGTTAACCCATCTAATGTTACTTTATACTGGCAAAGAAAAAAGATTGTAGGCATGGTAGGTTTTAACTTTCTGTTGTACTAAGTTTCTAGTCCAGTAAGCCATCAATCATGTTTTGAGGCATTGTAGTGTAATGAAAATCCCACTTTTCAATTTCGGGTATCAGGTGTCAAAACCTTGGTATCCTGCATAAATACAAATATATGTAGGTTAACCCTCTTGTGCCCAGCGTGACACTTTAGTATTTTTAAAACTCTATCTAAAGCCAGATGATTTTACTCGTCACAGGGAAGCGCTTGAGCACAAGAGGGTTAAATGAGCCCCACCTCCCAGTCTATTTATCAATTAAAATACGTTCTTAAAATATAAGTTTATTCTGCCTGAAAGATGCAGGCTTTATTAGTGGATAAGATATGTATATATGAGCATACCTGACTGATTCCTTATACCACCTAGTTATGGGCATTAAATGGTTGATACACTGAGAATGATACCGAAAAACTGCATCTTGCTCTTCCTGTTTTTTTATCCATTCCTTCAATTTGGCAAGTAAGATCATGTTATGGGACTTGGTTTCCTTCAGGCATTTGTCCAATTCTGGTGTTGTTGGAAAACTAGATGATTTCTCAAAAGTCTTTATCATGGCAGTAGAAAGTCCATCATCATAATCCATTAGGGCTTCTTCATTATTATTGTAGTTATTCTCTTTAAACTTGGATTTGAAGGAAGATGGATTTACCGTTGGTCTTTTCAAAACTTTTCCCACCACATGCCAAAATCCACCAGGACCTGCTGTGCGGGCTATGCACTCATTCACATACCCACGGCAGTGGAAATCTCCACCACCAGGTGTATGGCACCCATAAACGTCTGGACAACGACCAGAGCAGCCTTGAATTAGAACAGTGTTCTTTTGATCGCCGACGTTGATGTTCAGACCACATGCAAAATTCAACCCAGCAACACTGTCATCCATCTCAGACCCGCTTGAGTTTTTTGGGTAAAATGATTCAACATGGCTGATTACAACTTCTTCTTCCAATATTTTTTGTTCAATGTTTATCATTATGTTATCCCCCTTAACTTTGGCTATTTGCAACGAAAGCACAGTATCTGGAAATAGTTCATCTCTAACGAAAGCACCGCATTCTACAATAACCTTTCCCGTTATTGTGTGCCCCATATGAAGAGCCAGAGTTAAAGGTGTTTGTCCAATACCATCTCTTACGTTGACAGGACACCCTGAATATATTAAGCAGCGAACTAGCCTCGTATTGCCGTTCAATGATGCCAAATGGATCACAGATCTTTCATATTGGTCTCTAGCAGGAAACCACTCATCTCTAAGCGCTGAAACTCGTTCAGTCAACGTTTGATCGCTTGTGAATATTGACGCTAGATCTCTCAAGGTCGTAAAAATACTTTCAAAACGCTTGTCTAATATTTCATTGACTTCCTTCAACCCTATTTTGCATAACAACTGAGACCATTTAAGATGTTCCATATTCATTAGCCTCAGGCCACCATGCTTACAGCTGTCTCGATCGTCTTAATACCTGAATTACTGAATGTTCTTCGTTTGCTGCGTTGTGTCTACGACGATTGCAGAGAACTTAAGCGGAGGTTCGAATTAGCGGGATACAAATTGGACGATCAATGCAACAACGCGATTTTGGTTATTTTCTCATTTATGTAATTGTGTGTGTGTCTCTGAGTAGCGAAGAATTAGTTATATACAGATGTTATTAATTGAAGATGCATGCAAGTGTAATTTGAACTATTAGTTTAAGTGTCAACCAATCAAGTGCGTTCTAGTGCGTTGCTATATTATTTAACTATTACTATTAGTGCAAAGTCCATGTCAATTCTCAACATCCTCCGGGGCGCGCGAAAGTACAGATGCCCATTTTTTCATTTTCTCTCTTGCGAGTTGTGCTTTTGCTCTGATGGGTCTGTTCACTCCTTGATTTTCGGTTGCGGGGTCCTGGGTATCGGGGTCCAGGGTATTTTGAGGTTGGGTGTCAGGAACCTTTGACATGGTGGTATCGGTGGTTGAGGTCACTTCTAGTGGGTATTGTTTGGTGATAGGACGATTTGTATAACCAGTGCTTGTCTTGATGTTGGCTGCACGGACCAAACCGTCTTTTCCTACAATGAGACTTTCCACAATGGCAAGCTTCCAGTTCACGCGTTTGGTGTCATCGTGGACTTGAACTACATCACCGACTTTTATTTCTATTTCGTTTTTTCCAGAGACTTTGTGGAATTCGCGTAAAGAGGTTAAGTATTCTTCACGCCAGCGTTTCCAAAAGTGTTGTAGCAATGTAACGTGCCGAATTAACAAGAATAGACGCACACACAGTTTACAATTATATATATATTCTTCCAGCTTTACACGTGCAACCTTCTCACTTCGGTTGTACGCTCATACTAACTAACTTGAGCGTCTTGTATTACCATGCATATACTGTCCGGAAGCAGTCTGTTTTATATTAACACGTTACACCATCCCCCAACAATAATATTCTTGCCCACAAGAAGTGCAGTGAAATTTACGATAACTATGTTTACGACTGTGTTCTTACAGGGAGTATTATCTTGCAACAAAACCGTACCGATCAGGCGGTTGGACATTTTGCCTGAGATTCCTAGGCCTAACCCGGGGGATATGTGGAGCATCGTCGCAATTAGGTTGAACGTTGTTCGTGGGAACAGTGTAAACCACTTGGTCGCCCCCAAGTTCTCGAGCAGGACAAACAACTTTGCCGTTGTTTAATGGTGCATAGCCGCGCTTCAACCGATCATGATGAACTACCGTAATCTTGCCTGTGCTTGATTTTATTTTGTAATCAACGCCGAGCCTGCAAATAAGTTCAAACGGCCCAATCCACTTGGTTCCGAATTTCCATCCTTTCGGTCTGCGTAAATATACCGTCTCTCCTGGTGCGAATGGACACCAAGTTTGATTTCTTTTCTCGTTACATTTCCTTTGTTTCTTCCTTGCTTTCTCTAAGTTAACTCTTGCTACCTCTCTCACCTCTTAAATATCTTCCTAACAGACTGGCTGTATTCTGATTGTGTCTTAGGTTCTTTGAGTGGAAAACCTAACTCGAGTTCGATGGGTAATCTGGGCATACGACCAAAGACTAGTTCATATGGTGAAGTTTGTACCGACTCCTGCCGACTAGTGTTGTAAGCGAAAACTACCGAATCTAACCATTGATCCCAATCATGGTCATGTTTACTACAAAATGCCGCTAACATGTCTTGCAAAGTTCTGTTTTGCCTCTCTACCTGCCCGTCACATTGAGGGTGATATGCAGTGGTCCGACTCTTTGTAATTCCCATTATATCACACACTTCATGCAGTAATGTGCTTTCAAAATTTGCTCCTTGATCAGAGTGTAAGACAACTGGGGGACCGAACCGACTGAAAACTCGATCAACAAGTATTTTAGCAACTGTTGATGCTTTTTGATCTGGAGTAGCAAAAGCCTCACACCATTTCGTAAAATGATCCATTAAGACTAAAATGTGTTTGTTTCCACGACTACTTTCGGGTAACGGGCCCATATAGTCTAAGGCCCAGAATGTAAAGGGTTCGCTAACCTCCAAGCTTTGAAGTGGTGCTTTGCCATTGTTATCCGTTGGCGCCGGCGCTTTTCTCTGGACACAAACGTCGCAATGCCTAATGTACGTTTCAACAGTCTTCCGCATTTTGGCCAAAAAAACGGTTTCGAACACGATCAAGAGTTCTAGTCACCTAAGTGCCCGGCAAATGGACTGTCGTGCGTGCCTTTTAATATTTCAATTTCTAAAGATTTTGGTACCACGATAGCTGGATCTGGGTGTGTATTTCTGGTCTTTAACGATTTATAAAGCACCCCATCACGAACAAACAAGCTATCATAGTGATGCCAGAACGAGACCAATTTGGGATTACGTCGCCATGCAGCTAATTTATTTCTCGGCGTACCGCTTTCTTTAGCATTGATAATTTGAGAAAGTATTGGATCCGTGTGCTGACAGTTCCTTATGTTGTTTGTCGGATTGATGGCAATTGCGCAGTTATCTGGCACATGTTCCTGTGAATTGCACGTTGAATTTGTGCCGTGGTTTTTATCAAGTAAGCAGTCCGTCCGGGTAGGTTCTGGAGACTGATGAGGGGCTACTAAACGAGAAAGTGCATCTGCGTTTTTGTGAAGTTTCCCAGGTTTGTGTACGACAGAAAATTGAAATTCTTGTAATTCCATGACCCACCGCTCGAGGCGCCCTTTGAGATGTATACTGCCTAGCCATTGTAGAGCGCTATGGTCCGTTATCACTTTAAATGGGCGACCGAGCAAGTATGTGCGAAAAGTGCGAGTACCAAATACAACCGCAAATGCTTCCTTTTCTGTTGTGCAATATTTACGTTCGCGAACCGATAAAATTTTAGATGCGTATGCTATGGGTCGTTCTAACCCATTGTCGTCAAGCTGTGAGAGTACGGCACCTAATCCTATATCTGAAGCGTCCGTCTGTAGCAGGAATTCTTTGTCAAAGTTAGGATGGACTAAAACTGGCGAATTACAGAGGCATGTTTTCAAGGTGTGAAACGCCTGCTGACACTCTGGAGTCCAGTCAAATTGCTTAGCCTCGGTTTTTGTAGTCAATTTAGTGAGAGGGGCCGAAATAGATGCATAACTCTTGATAAAACGCCGGTAATATCCAGATAAACCTAAAAAACTTCGGACTTCTTTTACGGTCTTAGGTGCAGGAATTTGTTTTATTGCTGCCACTTTTGATGGAAGAGGACTAATGCCCGCTTCGGATATCACATGTCCCAAATAGTCAACCTTTCGCGCTGCAAAAGTACATTTTGACAAATTTAAACGCAGATTATGTTGCTGAAAACGAGCAAGGACCGCTCTTAACCTATCACAATGTTCAGCGATACTGTTACTAAAAATGATGACGTCGTCTAAGTAACAAAGGCAAATGCTGAATGTCAGACCAGCTAAAACGAGTTCCATGGCTCGTTGAAATGTCGCAGGCGCAGTAGCTAACCCAAAGGGCATCCGGTTAAACTCATACAAGCCAGCATGTGTAACAAAAGCTGTTTTTGCGCGGTCATCTGGGTGGACGGGAATTTGGTGGTAGCCGCTTTTTAAGTCTAGAGTTGTAAAGTATTTTGCATGTCCAACCGAGTCCAAGAGGTCATCCACCCGAGGCAAGGGATGAGCGTCATGGCGTGTGATTTGATTGAGTTTGCGGTAATCAATACAAAAGCGAAGTTCACCTGACTTTTTGCGAACTAGGACGATTGGGCTGGCCCAAGGGCTAGTGCTGGGACGGATTATGCCTTGATCTAACATGTCTGTGATTTGTTTTTCGGCCTCTTCGCGATATGCATATGGCATTCGCCTGGCGCGTTGCCTAATGGGTGGATTATCACCCGTGTCAATTGTATGATGCACAATGTTGGTTAGGCTAATGTTGTCGCTAAAAAGTTCTTGAAACTCATGCAATACTTGTTTCACTTGTTGTTTTTCGGGCTGACTTAAATCTGGATCTAACATAGAATCTATTTGTTGCGTGAACGGAGTTGTTTTGACGGCATTACAATTAACCGGAAATTTGTTAGTGTCGACGGTATTCGGTTCAATTAGTGGACAAAATTCAGCCAATTTGCACCCTTTTTGTAGTTCGATTTCGCCTTCTGTGGTATTCGCTATTCTAATTGGAACTGTTTTACCTATAGGGGTGACAACTAAATGAGCTACATGTAGTCCTTTTAAATGTTTTACGCTATCTGACTGACTAGCTGATATCATGCCAACCTGTGAAACATCTTTCGCCTGTATCTTACCTTCAATTATTATTTCCGACCGAGCCGGAATTGCCACTCCCTCAGACAATGTCACTTTATTGATACCTCTGGACAGTGATTGCGTCAGCACTGCACTGTCTCTGCTGGAGTTGTTGGGAGGAACGACTGGCGAGTCCTTCTCTGTTATCACAACTCCATTCGATTGTACCTTATTTGCTGGATGCTCCGACTGTATTGGGCATTTCCCATAAGTCCCCACTAGCTGATAACTGCTTCGCCCTCCCAAAACACTCCCTTGAACACTTAATGTATGCCGCATAATAAAGTCCCATCCCAGAACACAGTCGTAAGGTATATTGCTACTGACAAGAAACGAACTATGGTACTTATGTTTAGACCGGTGCATGGTTACATTTGTAGATATGCTTCCTACAATATTTAACTCCCCCCCAGTAATCGACGTACAACGCTGTGATTGCGACGTGTCTAATCGAACACAGTCAAAGTCTATTACATGCAGGACTTTATCGCTTATGAAGGACTTCATTGATCCAGTATCTAATAGAGCATTGACAGGTACACCGTCAATGAAACAAGCAACAAACGGGTGTTCAGGTAAATTAATATCAGTGTGGTTAGTACCACTACTAACGCTAACATTATTATAAAAATCACAGTTCTTACTTGTGTCGGGGCTGTCTACTGGCCTGTGTGTCCTCGAGACGCCCCTTGGTAGTTTAAAGGCGCATAATTTCCACATTCTCGTGCGAAGTGCCCGTATCTGTGGCATTCGTAGCATCGAACGTTGGAGCGGTCTTGGCGTTGGCTAGGGCTGCGGCAATCGCGGGCCAGGTGGCCTTGTTTTCCACAACGAAAGCAAGTGACCCTGGGTCGGTTACGATCCTGTTGTTTAATTGCTGCGGTGTACATCTGTTGAGACGTGGCCAGTTGATCCTCGAGCGTCTTCTGTCGAGTAGCGAGTTCGGTTACTAAACCTACCAGTCGGTCGATGTTGGCGTTCGTGTTTTCTGCTGCTGTGCTCGCGCTGGTAGAACCGGGTTTATGTTCTTCAATTGCTCTATAGCGCTGTACAAAGCTTAGCATTTCGGTTAAGGTTGGTGTTGGGTTGTGCGCTAACAGTTTTTCTCGTATTGTGTTTGGCAGACCACGCATGAATTGGCGCGACAATAAGGCAGATTTCGCTTCGTCTCCTAGTGTCGGGTCAGCCTTTTCTAAGAGTTGCTCCAATTCCCACTTGTAAATAGATGGGTCTTCGCCGACACGGAGCATCCGAGCTTCAAATTTTACATAGTTATTTTCCCTTTCAACTGGTGGACAAAGGGCTTCTTTTAACTTTTTTGTCGCGGCGGCGTAAGTTGATCTCTCCTCGTCGGGAATCGTATAGAAATGAGTGGCTGCTCGTCCTCGTAGAAACGCGGGAAGTTTTTTGATCTTGTCTTCGTCTTTCCAACCATTTGCTAAAGCACACGCATCGAACTCTCTTAGCCATGCTACGATATCGTCTCCCTCGAATTTCGCTGGTAGAATGTTCGTTGCCATTTTCTTCAATCAACCTGTTTTTACCCAATCCCACCGCTGCGCACCAATTGTAACGTGCCGAATTAACAAGAATAGACGCACACACAGTTTACAATTATATATATATTCTTCCAGCTTTACACGTGCAACCTTCTCACTTCGGTTGTACGCTCATACTAACTAACTTGAGCGTCTTGTATTACCATGCATATACTGTCCGGAAGCAGTCTGTTTTATATTAACACGTTACAGCAAATCACTCCTCCTTTTTGCTTGAATTTCGATACGGGTTGGTTCAGGGTGGTAGGACGGGTCGTTGGGATCATCGTCGTAAAGCAAGTGGGGTAGGGTGGTGATTCGTCGGCCGTATAGTAGGTGGGATGGGGTGAGTGGATCCTCGTCGCTGAGTTCGGAAGAGGTGTATGTTAAAGGGCGGTCGTTGAGGACTGCTTCAATCTCGGTTGATATCGTTTGTAGTTCCTCGAGGGTGATGTTTGCTCTACCAAGGACCTTCTTCAGAGAGAGTTTTGTCAATCCAATCAATCTTTCCCAGAATCCGCCGTACCACGGTGCTCGTTTTGGTATAAATTTCCAAACAATGCCACGTAAACTTAGTCGGGTCTCTAATTCTGGCGAATTGAAAAGTTGTGTTAATTCGTCAGCAGCGGATTGGTATGTCGATGCATTGTCTGACACTATGATTTGGGGTAAAGATTTGCGGCTTGCAAATCGTCAGAACGCTGTCATAAAGGTTTGAACGGTAAGGTCGGTTACCACTTCGAGATGGACAGCGCGTGTGTTTGCACAGGTAAATAGGCATATGTATACTTTCTCTTGACCTTGTGGGGTTTTGACGTAAATGGCGCCAGTGAAATCTACTCCTGTGACAGTAAATGGGTGTGAATCGACCAATCTAAAGGCTGGAAGGGGAGGTGGAGTAGGAGCTCTATACGGTTGTCCATTAACCTTTCGACAGGTTACACAGCGGCGAAGTAACTTTTTGATGAACTGGCGGGCCTTTGGAATCCAGTAACGTTGGCGGACATGAGTCAAAGTGTGGTTTAATCCAGAGTGTAATGCTGTCTTGTGTGCATCATTGACAACTAAGGTGGTGAGATGGTCATTTGCAGGGAGAAGGATTGGGAATTTGGCAGAATGTTTTACAGGCGCATTATGGATTCTGCCTCCGCAGCGAATGATGTTGTCCTCAAGGATAAATAGGCGAAGTTGACGGACTAGGGGTACGCGAGGGACGTTGGTCTGTTGTAGATTGGCGAGTTCACTGCTGTATGCTTTGCTTTGAATTTCGCGTATCCAAACATTTTTTGCATGATTGATTTCATCTGCGTTGAGGGTCTGACTTCTGTACGTGGAGCGTTTTCGAAGGACATTCGTAAATCTAATCACCCATGCTGTAGTTCTTATAAGTCGTTGAAGATCACTGAATTGGGTATGGGCGATGACTTGTCTGATAGTGCTGTTTGAAGGTGAAGGTGGAGATGGTTGTGGTTTATCGCTGTGTGGTGGGGTAACATGGGTAGTTTCTGGATCGTCGTGGACAGAAGATTGTAAGATGACTGTCTTTGGATCCCATTGTGGCCAGCTATCCTGTTTTAATAGCCAAGAAGGACCATGATGCCACGTGTGTGAAGCGAGAAGAGTTTCGGTTCGAATGCCGCGTGTCAAGAGATCGGCTGGGTTGTCCGTACTTGGGCAGTAATGCCAACTGGCGTCGTTTGTGGTTTGGTGAATTTCATCGATGCGGTTCTGGACAAATCGTTTTGAGTTCTTTCGTGGAGGAAAGCCAGTGGAGGACTATTTGACTGTCTGACCAATAGACAATTCGTGATATGTTAAGGTTATTGCGTAGATATGAAGCTAATCTTGCTCCCATTACAGCTGCCATTAATTCTAGTTGTGGTAGAGTTAGTTTTTTTAAGGGGGCCACTCGAGTCTTAGACATGACCATTGTGCTGTGAGGACCAGAGGCGAGATATGCAACTGTACCATACGCTTTGAAACTGGCGTCAACAAAGATGTGCAAGGTTACGTTTGAAGGCCATACGGGCAACAAGGGGAAGTATTTGCGTTGAATCTGAATGCGGGTTGCGCTTTCTAGGTTTTTGGAAAGTCCAATCCATTTATTTTGCATTTCGTCTGGTAATGGTTCATCCCAGTCGTAGCCATGTTCCCAGAGTTCTTGGATAAAGATTTTGGCACGGATTGAGACAGGCGAAAGAATGCCAAGTGGGTCATATATTTTGGACGATTGTCGTAGTACGTCTCTCTTTGTTACTTTTTCTATAGTTGTCGTAGTAGTTAGCCCCTTTTCTTGGAGTTTTAATACATCATCTTTGGCATTCCACTGCAAACCGAGAACTTTGGTTTCAGGGTCAGCATCTTGAAGATGTTCGGTGGTTGCTAGCGCGGAGAGTTTAGAACTGTTGGAATTCCACGATTGTAGATTAAATTTGGCTGGAGACATAATAGATCTAGCTTGTTTGAAGTAACACAGGGCTTCATCTTCATGATCTGTTCCGGAAGCTAAGTTGTCAACGTATATGTCTGACTCCATGGACCTGGCGGTTGGATCGTTGAAACGGCCAAGATGTTTCTTGATAGTGGCATTAAGGATAAATGGGGAACATGATGCTCCAAATAGGATAGATTTGAAACGGTAGACATCAAATTTACTTTCGGGGTTGGTTGGGTCGGATAGCCAGAAGAATCGGGTTGCTCTATCTTCTTTCTTATCCAGGGAGATATTCAAAACGCTTTCTCTATGGCGGTTATACCGTACTGATAACAGCGGAAACGGACGAGGATGGCAGTTAGGTCGTTGAGAATATCTGGGCCAGTAGAAAGGCAGGAATTTAGGCTTGGTTGATCAACGTTGGTGCGGCAGCTACAGTCGTACACAATACGGAGCGGAGTAGTGGAGGAATCCTTTAGTACAGCGTGGTGAGGGATGTAATGGCAAGGACCGTTAACGATTTGAGGGTCAACAACCTTTTCAATGAAGCCTCGCTGTAATTGTTCGTTGATTATTTCGTCGTAGGTGTTTAACATCTGGGGATCCTGGGATCCTGGGGATCCTTTAACAAAGTTACTATCATTCGTTTGAGTTTCGTTGGGAAGAATACCGATTGATTCTAAGTTCCAGAATCGTTCTAACGCTTTGTTGTCGGGCTCGGTTGATACAATCACTTTCAAGATACTTGCATTAAGATACGATGACGTTGGTGTCGTGTTCGCAATTGGACCAGAAAGCAAATAGCCAATTTTAGATTTTGCTGCGGTTGGACCCGGTCCTCTGATAATTTTATTTTCCACAATGTCCCAGTAGTGATCTGCACCAATAAGTAGGGAAATCTGGAACTGTTCATCGGAATTCATTGGGCGGGCTAGCTTTAAACCACTGAGATAAGGGAGATTTCGTATATCCGTAGTGAGAAGACTTTTCTGAGGTGCAGCGATCGTCGGAATAATTATTACTTGAACGGGAATTTTGTCACCATTGTCTGAGCGGAGGTATATCGTAGCGACATCAACTTGTTTTACGGAAGTGGTGGACCCACCGAAAACGGAAAGATTAAGTGTTTCGCTGTGTTCAGGTGCGAGGTCTAGTTTGTCGGCTAATTCTTGCGTAATAAATGAGCGCTGGGCCCCTTCGTCGAAGAGAATGTGGGCTGTCGCTGAGCTTGAAGACGATTCTACTGAGTTTATTGCTGTTTTTAGAAGTGTTTGTTTCCCGTAGTAATTATTGTTGGACAAAGTGGTGTGGAACCCAGTTACGGGTTTGGTTTTATTGGCTTGGTCAGGAATTTCGATGTTAGCAAGGGTGGCATTTGTGTTTTGAACTTGCGTGTTCACATTTGGCGTGTTTTGATTTTGCGGTTGTCGCTCTTCCGGTTTTGATTGTTCCGTATCTCCGTTTTGCTCTTGACGTTTTGGATGTTTATTATCTATTTCTTGACAAAGACTTGTGTGGTGTTTTTGATGACACCCCCTACAGCGGTTTTTTGAGTTACATTTGGATACTCGGTGATTGTTTAAACAGTTAAAACACAAATTTGACTGGTGGACAATTTTCTTACGTGTTGCGGGATCTCGAATCACATTGCACTCGTGAGGACGGTGATGACCAGAGCAAAAAACGCATAATCGTGGCTTTGCATGATTGCCGGCTTTGGGGTTTTTGAAATCCCGTTCTTTAATTGGAAAGGTATTCGTAAGTAACGATGACGTAGACGGAGGAGTGTTGACAGGTCGTTTGGTATGCTCGAAAATTTCTGTCTCTTCCCCAGCCTCTAATATTTGGATTTCCTTTAAAATAGCTCTGCGCAATTGTTCGATGTCCCATTTGGTTGTCCCATTTTCGCGAATTAAGTTGTGTTTTATTGTTGTTGGTAATTTAGCCAAAATAATAGGTGTCAATAGGTCACCGTATGTATCCGGTTTCTTGTCTAATGCTTCGAGACCGCGAATATGGTTTTCCATGCTATCGTAAAATTTACGCAGATGGGTCACAGAATCAGATGGGGTGGGAAGATCTAGTAACGCTTGCATGTGTGCGTTAACTATCTTGTGCGGTTGGCCAAATCTCTCTTCTAAAATTTGGATAGACTGCGCGTAATTCGACTCCGATAGAGGGAGGCCTTCGATTGAACTGGCAGCTTCGCCGGACAATTGAGCTTTGAGATATGTGAATTTCTGGATATCACCCAAACTAATATTGTTGTGTATCGCGGTTTTATATGTGTCCCAGAATGTTTGCCATTTTAGCGGGTTTCCCGTAAATATCGGTAGCGTTAACTTCGGTAATCTATGACTGTTCGAATTTCCTAATTGCGGTGTACTTTGAACGGGGGATTCGTGGTTGTGGCTAGGAGATGCGTTATTTTGGACTTTACTTTGACTAGACTTAATATGAAATTGTATGCGGTACCTCTTTTCCATTAGCTCATTTAAATAGTCGTCAGCTTCTGCGATTTCTGCCTCTAGGTTTTTCTCTTAATCAATTTTACAGTATACTGTTTCGTCTAACTTGCGTAACTGTTCGATTTTTGCGTCGTACGTTTCCAATACAGCCTGTAGTTTTTGAGTCTTCACTTCGTTCATATCCTCCTCCATGAGCGATAGCGCTTTGTTCCATAATTTAGTAGCTTGTGAGCGTTGAGCCCGTCTTGTTACCTTGGCGCGTTGCAATTCGTCCATCCTGGTCACAGCACCAATGTCTCGATCGTCTTAATACCTGAATTACTGAATGTTCTTCGTTTGCTGCGTTGTGTCTACGACGATTGCAGAGAACTTAAGCGGAGGTTCGAATTAGCGGGATACAAATTGGACGATCAATGCAACAACGCGATTTTGGTTATTTTCTCATTTATGTAATTGTGTGTGTGTCTCTGAGTAGCGAAGAATTAGTTATATACAGATGTTATTAATTGAAGATGCATGCAAGTGTAATTTGAACTATCAGTTTAAGTGTCAATCAATCAAGTGCGTTCTAGTGCGTTGCTATATTATTTAACTATTACTATTAGTGCAAAGTCCATGTCAATTCTCGACAACAGCAATGAAGAGGGGGGGGGGAGTTATTTGTGTATTTTTCTAAGGGGTATTTCCGGGGGGGACGCATATAATTGTTAATTCACGTAGGAAATTTAAAAATATATATTATCGTGAAAATCCTGGAATACGTTCCATCTAAACGATGGTCCTAAGCTGAAAACAGTAAAATTGTGACATCATTACCGGAAAGGTCTATTTAATTACTATGTGTCATAGAAAATAGCAAAGTTATAGACATAGTACAATATTGGCCTTAATCTTCTTCACTACTAGAGTCTTCTTCATCCATAACTACCAACAAATTGTTGGCATTGCTAAAAGCCACATCGTCTTCAGAAATGGTTGCTGCTTCCCCTCTCAAGATATTTTCATATTCCAATTGGTGCTCTTTATGCCTTTCTAAAGTTTTCATGAAGGCAAAGCGTTCATATGCCCTGTCAAGGGCGAAATCCTCTCCTGAGCTTCTCAGTGGCACATGCGTGGTGTTCTTCTTACTTTGAAAACCAAATTCTTTTGTGAATAAGTCAGGTTACTCGCTAGTCCAACGGTCTTGCACTGATTCTCATGGGAAATGGGCAGAGGAAAAATTTGTGTTGGTTTTCCAACAAGATCAGGGAAATCTTTTTCAACTGGTGGTATTTCTATAATGTAATGCCTCCTTGGTTCTTGCTGAGTCTGGTTAGGTTCCCGTGCATTGCCACTCGCTAATTCTTGCAACTTATCACTTGTGTGGACGCTTTAATTTCCTCACCTGACAGTTCAACCGAATTAAGGGCTTTATCCAGTTTACGTAGCAAATTTCGGTCTTGGAATTGTTCCCACATCTTGTTCAGCTCATCGTGTGTTTCTAATATATATATCACAAATGAAATATAAAGTTCACACAATTGCCAAATGTATAAAAGGTATTAAAAAGAGGCCAAAGTTCGACTATACCAGTGCGAGAAATCTACTGTCTATTTCGTAGTATATAATGTACAAATAATCTATTTCGAAGGGGTGACATTAAAAAATATAAAACATTTTCTGTTTTGATATTTTCCGTGTAGAAATTGAGTCAACACGACTCATAACTCGACATTCAGCATTTACAAATGGCTGTAATATTATAAAAATTATATATAATTTTCACATGAAACCTACCAAACTTGGTGTCTTTGTATTCGAGATCTTTCACAGGCATCTGAGGTTTTACTGCCTCTTCATCATTAAAGTAGTTTTCAGTGCCACTTATGTCCGCTTCACGCCATCCACGAACCGTAAAATCCCACATTTTTCCTGGCAAGATCTTTTCCTTCTGCAACTTTGACAACCGCAAGTGTCTTAATGACGTGCGACTTATCTGCATGTTGTCTTGATATGTCACAATGGGTGTTGTGCTAGAAGAACGCTGTTTTATGACATCCTTGTAATTCTCTAGCTGACTTTTCAGAACACCAAGCCTAAAACAGAAAGTTTAACACATACTGTCAGTAATGGTTCTTGTGAAATAAAGTGTATATATAAGTGTATATACAAAATAATCTAGAAAATAGAAAAATATGAGTAATAATAAAAAAAATTACTTACAATACAGGAAATGACTCGGATAAACCAAGACGTTGCAGAGGCCTTATTAATGCAGGCCCAGCACCATAGCAGACACACAATAAACCAAAGAGTATTGGGATATCATTTTTGCTGTATTGATCCCTAACGTCCAATAAGGATGCCAATAGATGCACAGCAGCTTTCATTTTTATACTCTCTGTTTTCAGAGTGTTTCTGGAAGCATTATGTGTGAGTACAAGCTGCTCCAAAATGTTTGTTATAGTAGGACAGCTATTTCGTATGTTTGAAACAAGTGTCTGGAATAGTAGTGGTTGGAAAATGTCATTTGCTTTATCATCTCTTATACTAAGGTTGAACAACTGCTTTGCTTTATCCACTTCAGATGTAATGGCATTTCTTTCCGACACTGACAACAGCCCACCAAGAAGCCTTCCAGTGGCAATGATATCTTTTTGTAAAGCAATAATATCATCTCGTAGCTGCATAATTTCTTGTACTTCTTTGTCAAAGTCAACAAATGCTTCCTGGAAATTGGACAGTTTGTCACTATCATCTTTTGTAGCAGACTGCATGGAATCTTCAAGCTCCATTGTTTGAGATACCAACTCTTCCAAACACATAAAATTATCACTGCCTGTGAAGACAAACAAAAAAGTTACATATTATCACTTACTAAATAAATTTGACATTGGGTCAAGTTAAGTTTTTATTTTACATAATAGTATGCATTGCATGCCTTCATTTTCTTCGACATTGACACTTTCCATCTGAAGACCTAGATAAATAATAATCAGTCATTCAAAAAATAAACTAGCCCATTGAGTTGCATTGTTATGTGATGCAGCCTACTTTATTATTTCACTGTCTAATGCCAAACAATTTTACTTATCAAGGGAAACTTGATGACACTTAATGGACTAGCCTATCTGCCCATGTGTCTAGTTAAACCATTGACTCATGTTGCACTGTAACACAATTGCAATGTTGCAATGTAAGCGTATTATTCTCTGTTCAATGCAAGACAGTTTTACTGTCAAGGGGAAAGCGTTATAAAAGAAAGTATCATATACATTACTGTAAAAATATTTACATATTTTTTCTGGCTTTACTTGGCTTTTGCATTTCTTCATTTAAACTTGACATTCCTGTCAACAAAGTTATAGTATAATTAATATTCAATATTCACAAAACTGTACACTCAGTAGAAGATATTATAAATACAAGCAAACTAGAGAAAGCGTAAAAAATGTAAAGTCAGTGTGAAAAATAATATAAAAGTTTTAAAAAGTATTAAAGCTGTGTTACATATTTTTATCAGGGAGAAAGGCATATATGTGTTTTAGCATTTAGCATACCTGCAGATTTGTCCTGGTCTTCAATGAAGGCTAATCCTCGATAATATGCTCTGAAATGTACAAATAGAGTTATTAGAAACTATTAGAATGAATACCATTTCATATTTAAAATAAATTTAGCTGTCTAGTAATTGCAAGGCATATATGACCATATCACAAACTACCAAGCAGATATCACAACAACTAGCTTCCTTCGCCAAGATTTGACTATATACTTGATACTAAAATTCATCATAAGCTTGAGATGAAATCAGCTTGGGAAAAAAACCTACCAAACTGTCTCCCTTCAATACAGTGTAAGTACCACTTAAATAAACTTATGTAAGATAAAATATGAACATGACAAAAAAACATAATCCAATGGAAGGAACGCTTGCAATTAGCAATCAAACATTCATCTTACCTTTTTTTCTTCCCCATATATTCCACCTTCTTTCCAAATGTTTTTGATAGTTCCCTTAATACATTTGTTCTATTAAAATCATATGCTTCTGGGAACCTCTGATTCACTCTTTCAATAATATCATCTACCATGACAATGGACTCTGTCTTCCTACAAATCAAACATTCTAAGGCGGTCTTCACGTCGGCCTTAAATGCTTGATATGAAGGTTTTACTACAAGAAATAATTTACATATGCTCATTTTACTGATTAAAGTTTAGTGGTTAACTTTTAAATATAAACATTTTTAATCGCAAAATTGCTACGCGTGATCATGAGTGGCCTATTGTCTGAACTGAATATTGTTTGCAAACTTACAACCCACCTTTCCTTTTGGTTCCTCCTGGAGTAAAAATGACTTTCCTCTGATGAGTATCACAGACAGGCATCGTCGACTGCTTTGCTGATTGTTCCCTGCCATCGGCACGATCTACACTGATACTAGACGATAACCCAAAATTGGGAAAACATAAATTCTTACGAACGGCCAACCCTTCCTTTTTCGATTTAATTTGGTCTTGTATTTGTGCTTCTTTCTGTCGGACACTACGCAAAACATTTTTGTATTCCAAACTGCATACAGGAACTTGTGTTCTTACATAACGTGGTATCTTCGATTGAGAAGCTTTAGAACCCGTTGAACTTTCAGCCATGTTTATAGTAAAACCAGTCAGTAAAACGACTGTTCACCACTGAGAGTGATTTTACCAAACGAACCAAACCACTATATGAGCAAATTAACCTCACCCTACCCGGGGTGAATTGTTAGGTCCATCGAGATGAATTGTCGCATCCAACCAATCGATTTTTGGCAGGCAACTCTCCCTCCCTTCGTTTTTCCTCCCCTCGTATTTATCCTCGGAAATCCCCCAATGCTCCGCAAATAGTTAGTTCTCAATTTCCTTATATTCAGTTACACTCGGCCAAAACATATGAATATTCAATTACACTCGGCGAAAATATAAAATATTATGAACTCAATTTCTCAAAGGTTTGCCGTTTGGGACTACACAGCTTTGCCTACTTATATTGTTACTCATCTATGCTATAAAACTATTTGAATACCAACAGAGTTGCCTGCGGAGGAGGCTAGGATTCATGTACGACCTAATCGTCTCCCGAGGGGAATTAGCTGCATTATAATTGGCACTATTTACCACCCACCAAACACTGACAATAATGCTATGTTAAGTTATTTAACAAATTGTGTATCATTTAAAGAATCGCATATCCCAAATAGCGGCATAATATTAACAGGTGATTTTAATGGCCTAAAAACCATGCGTCTACAGAAGAGTTTTCGATTGAAACAATTGGTCAATTTTCCAATGCGGGGGCGAAATGTTCCGGTGATGACGCTAAAGAGCCCGCCAATTATACGCATCAATCATCTTGGAGGTGGAGCTGAATGGTCTGGATACCGAGCCTAGGTCGGGATGACGAACAGAAACAATGGTATGTGGGTCAATTTGTATCTGGTAAGGGC